TTACGTGACGCCTTCTTGGTACTTTCTCCCTCCCTAACCCTCTCCAAGGAATAGATCACAAGTGCTTTTGAGTCGACTCAAAAGCAAGGGATAGATCACAAGTGCTTTTGAATCGACTCAAAAGCAAGGGATAGATCACAAGTGTTATTTTGAAGCGCCTCAAAGCATGACAAGAAACTCTCAAGAGATCCTGACCAACCTCCTGATAGAAGCATGCGCAATCAAGCATGGTGGCAAAGCTTGTGAGAACTGTCAGCACTGCAAGCAACCTGCGTATGTATGTAGTAGTACTTGAAAGCACTGGCAAAACTTCCTTTTGTGTCGGTACTTAGCAGACCTTTCCGTTCATGTACTACTTAGCATACGTCACAGGAGTGGCTTGCCGTTTGCCATGGGTAGCTGTGGGCATCTTGCATTTCGAGTGTGATGCCCATGCTCATTCCACATTGGCCCTTTACGTGGTTTCCTTCTCTCTATCAATGCCACCAATGGTTCCTCTGTCCCTCCCTCCCTTTCCTCCTCCGTCCACATCAGAGCCATTGCAACACTGGCCTTTAACGTGGGCTCTCTCTATCAATGCCGCCACTGGTGCCTCTGTCCCTCCCTTTCCTCCCCATTCCCCTCAGAGCCATGCACTTTGAACAACTGTGGAGGGAATGCCTTCTGTTACAAGAATGCAGCAGGGAGTGACATGTGTGGCTGCGACGATGGGTACACCAGGACTTCCAATGATGGCTGCATGTGTGAGTGTTGCTGGAGTCGCTGCATGGCTGGTTGGGTGATGTGCGTCTTGTCTCACCTCACCTCACTCGTTCCCTTTGTCCAACTTCCAACCTCTCCCTCCCTCCCTCTCTCCTTCTCTCCTTCCTCCCCTTTTGTGGCCGGTTCGTTAGAAGCTAACGAGTCATGTGTGACGAGTCGCGTTCTAAAGTAGACTCAAAAGCACCCTCAGTGCAGTGTAACGAGTCGCGCAACTCTCGCTATCCGCCCCTAAGCATCTCTCACCATCCCTCCCTCACTGCAGTTCCATGTGACGACTTCGGCAACTGCCCTTTCTATGGCAGTACATGCGGCGAGGTCACTGGAGGCGGCTATATGTGCATGTGTGAATCCGGCTACAGAATGGTTAACGACAGATGCACCCGTATGTCATGGCCTGTATAATTCTGTTTGAGGCTTTTCTCCACTCTCACTTGTCATTCCCACATCGTTTTTCCCTAATCTGACCCTTCTTTGAGTGAGCTAGCTCAACAGCAGACTCATCCATCTTTCCCCGCCTCACCAAGTTTACCCCTAGACCCAAAACCCTCCTCGTCCTCACCTCCCCCTTCTTTTTCGGCCTTCTAACCGTTCCCGCTTGGCCCTTTCTTCCTCTCTCTGTCCCTCTCCCTGCCCCACTATGGATTTAATTCCACTCCTATCAGACGTGTGCCAGTTGACGGCCTGTCCGTCCAGAACTATTTGTGACCTGGACACTAAAGGGGGCGCTGTGTGCGTCTGCAACGATGGCTACGAGAAGCTGCCAAACGGCACTTGCATTGGTGCGTATTGGTGGCTTCTTTCGTCTCATGCAGTCTCTGTCTTGGTAGGTAAAAAGGGCATGTATGTATGTCTCATGCTCTCTCTCTCCTCCCCCCCACACTCTCACTCCCCTGACCACGTACCAGAAACGTGCAATCGCAAGAGTTGTGGTAGCTTTCGGGAAGAGTGTGTAGACGTGGAAGGCGGCGACTCCTTCTGCAGATGCTTCAATGGATACAGTGGGAAGCCTGGAGCATGTGTTGGTACGTGGTTTGGGACGTCTCAAAAGTCTTCAATGGATACAGTGGGAAGCCTGGGTCGTGTGTTGGTACGTGGTGGTGTGCTTCTCGGTCTGCATACTGATGCCACTCGCTCCCTCTCCCATTCTCTCTCACGCGGTCCTGCTCACTGGTAGCAAGGTAGGATTAAGCATGGGCATTTGACCCGGACGGGTCGGGTAACCCGACCCGGTCAAAACGCCCTTTAGGGCGGGTCGGGTCAGGAATGCTGAGAAGGCCGACCCGCCCGGGTCGGGTCGGGAAAACCCGGACGGGTCGGGTCGACCCGTGACCCGTCAGTCACTGTGATTTAGTGACGGGTTTTTGCGACCCGCCGGGTCGGGTTGACCCGTCCCGTCTGGGTCGCGTACCCAGTCAAATGACAGGGTTACCCGACCCGTTTTCGGATTAGGGTAGGGGTTGAACATCTCTTGGTTTTTTAGGTTTTTTTTCCCTCGACATTCTGATCTAGTCGCTAGACTAGATCAAGGCTAGTACTTCTGCGCTGCAGCTAGGGAGCATCATACAGTCTTCACTCTTCAATGTTAGCACTATTTAAACTGCATATTATCTTCAGGTTAGGGTTTGGCGCTCCCGCCATTTCGCAGCGTCGCACGACCAGGGGCGCAGCAGCGCGCGTGCAGCCACGCATTGGCGGGATCGCGTCCCCGCAATAGCGCGATCTCGGCCCCGCGTTTGCTCAGCGCGATCACGGCCCCGCATTGGCGCGATCGCCGCCACGCATATGCGCGATCGCGGCACCGCATTAGGACAGGTTCAGCATCGCGATCAGACCTAACCCCCATACCCTGCTGCTATGTAGCATATTTTGATCCGACCCAACCCGACCCGTGGTGTAACCGACCCGGTAACGGGTCACAAATACCCGTTCCCACGGGGCGGATCGGGTCACCAAAACAGAGTCAAACCCGACCCGCTAACCCGACCCGACCCGACCCGTTAAGCTAACGGGTCGCCCTCAACGGGACGGGTCGGGCCGGGTCGGGTCAAATGCCCATGCTTAGGTAGGATGGACCCGCCTGGGCCCTCTGCCATACCTAACTGGCACCGAACACGGGGCCTTGCTCTTGCGGCCATGGTGTTGCAGCCAAGGCCATTGTGCATGGCATCTGTGCGTCCACCTACTTTCCTGCAGTGGTGTTGCAGCCGAGGCCATTGTGCATAGCATCTGTGCGTCCACCTACTTTCCTGCCGTGGTGTTGCAGCCGAGGCCATTGTGTATAGCATCTGTGCGCCCACCTACTTTCCTGCAGCGAAGAAGGTTATTGGCGGGCCATGGGCCAGTCGCTCGGAGAACGAGTGGGGGGTGGTGCTGGAGGTGCAACAAGTCTGGGTGCCTGCACTGCACGGGTGCCTGGGAGAGGAGGATGTGGGCGGATCCCACAAAGGGGTCCCCAAGAGAGACCGAGCCGACTTTTGAGTCGACTCAAAAGTCACCTTGAGGTGCAACAAGTCTGGGTGCCTGCACTGCACGGGTGCCTGGGAGAGGAGGCTGTGGGCGGATCCCACAGAGGGGTGCCCAAGAGGCCAAGCCTGCCGAGCCGATGGCTAGTGAGAGGCTGGGGCGTTGTCCGACCTCTCTCTGTATTTCTCTCTCTCTCTCCCTCCCTTCTTCCAGAAAACTGCGATTACAAGACGTGTGGCGAACGGGAACGATGTGTTCCCCATGAAGACGGTGCCGCCTGTGAATGCATTGCGGGAGCCATCAGGGTCGAGGGTTCTTGTGTCGGTACGTTGTGCTTGTTCCACCCCCGTCCCTACCTACCCCTCCCCTCCAAAACCGCTGGTTCCTGTGGCAGTACATGTTGCTCTGCTCCGCCCCATTAGTGCTCGCATTTGCTCGTGAATCAGTGCTTCTCCTCCCCGTCTTTTCTGTCGCTCACACCTTCACTCTTCCACTCTCCTCCATGTCTAGTATCGTCAGTACTGGCTGGCAGCCAATCTGATTCTGACCGTTGACTCAGTCTCTGAATTCTGTTCTGAAAGGTCCTCACTGGAGTGGTATGCATCACTGAAAGGTCCTCACGGGAGTGGTTTGCCGTTTGCATGGTTGGCTGCTGGCATCTTGCCATTTTATTGCTGCACTGTACTATTGCTATGATACCACTGCTATCTATCTGTTCCTGCATCGCCACTCAGCTGTGATATCATTGCAACATTCACCTTTAACGTGGGCTTTCTCTATCAATGCCACCAATGGTTCCTCTGTCCCTCCCTCCCTTTCCTCCCCCGTCCACCTCAGAGCCATGCACTGTGAACAACTGTGGAGAGAACTCCTTCTGTTACAAGAATGCAGCAGCGGAGAATACGTGTGCTTGTAACGATGGTTACACGATGACTCCCTTGGGCTGCAAGGGTGAGTAATGATGCGGTGACTGTGCATGGCTCAGCTGACCCGGCAAACCGGCAAACCCGAGAGAACTCCTCATCTCCCTTGGTGCCTTGAGTGAGAGTCATGCTTGCAAACCGGCAGCCCTCAGGGCCTCCCCATCACTGCCTCCTGTGCCTCTCCTTCCCTTCTCTCCCCATTCCCCTCAGAGCCATGCACTGTGACTAAATGTGGAGCGAATGCCTTCTGTTACAAGAATGCAGAAAGGAATGAAACATGTGGTTGCAACGATGGATTCACCATGACTTCCAATGGTCGCTGCATCGGTGAGTGTGGCTGGAGTCGCTGCATGGCTGGCTGGTGCTGTGCCTGTGGCACTGGTAAGTGCCTGCGTCTCCCTCTCTCCTTCGCTCTCTCCTTCCATCTCTCCTCCACCCAACTGCATTGATTCTGAGCCCCTCATTCCATCATCATCTCTCCCGCACCTCTTCAATATTCCTTCCAGACTCGTGCCTTATGCAGAACTGTGATCCCATCGCCACCTGTGTCAAGGGCACACGTGACCAGGCATGGTGCGTTTGCAAGCAGGGCTACAAAAATGTGTCTGGGGCATGCATCGGTACATAAAATTACATGCGGCTGCGTGGCACGTGTATCGTCATTCCGTTTGGGCTCGTGTCTTCCCTTGTCTGCTAAAACGAAAGCGCGAGGCGAACGTGCTACGCCTTTTCTAGAGTACATCGCCGGCAGTGTAGCAGTGTGAACATGGACTTCCTACTTCTTGCAACCTATTCCTCATCTCCCTCACCCTCTTTCTCGTTCTCTCTTTTTATTGCCACCCCTTCTGTCAGATGTGTGCGATCTCTGTGGCCCCAATGCTACATGTGAGATGGGCCTTCAAAGTGGAGCCAAAACCTGCCGTTGCAACAATGGTTACTACATGCTACCGAATAACACCTGTGCCGGTGCGTAGTTGTGGCCCCATATTGGGACCCTCATTCGCTTTACCCATCCCCAATACTCGGTCTCGGTCTCACCACCCCTCACCTCGTTTGGCATTGGAGACACCCCTTGCCCTCTCTCTTCTCTTCCCCCTCCCCTCTCAATTCGTCCTGTGTTTGGATGCACAACATGAACAGGCAAGGTCTGGTGAAAGAAAAACCCTCGCTCCCCCCTCTCCCTTCTGCTTTCCCTTTGCCCCCATCCCCCCACCAATCCCTTTCTCTTCCTCCCTCCCCGCTTCCTTCGCCAGCAACATGCATCATCACGGGCTGTGCCATTGGTTCTAGCTGCGTTGGAGACGTTATTGAAGACATGTATTGCGCCGGTACGTATCATTCTGAGAAGTCTCTGAGCGGTTGCAATGCGCTACCTCATCCATTTGCTCGTTCCTCTCCTTGCTCGCCTTTCTTTTTTCCGCTCTGTTCCATTCTTGGTATCATCAATACTGGTAAACCCTCTAGCCTTCTGGCTGTTTTTATTTAGGCACCTCAAAAGGCGTCCATGCTTGGTGGTGTCATCAAATATTGGCAGAACTTCTGGCCTTCTGATTGTTTGTGTGGTAACATTTTCACACAAAGCGTTCTCTGTTTCCCCCAAGCCGTGCATTTCTTGAGAGTACCGTGAGATTGGAGCTTGGAGTTGTTCCCTTCCGAACTACTTCCCTTCCTTCCGACCTTGCAGCTTGAGATGGTACTTGCCTTTCCCCAACTGTTTCTTTCATCCTCCCTGTCAGAGAACTGTTATCTCAAGGGATGCCACGACACGGCCATGTGTGTCAAGGACCCTGCATCTGGAAAGGCATCTTGCCAGTGCAGCACAGGCTTGATCATGCAATCTGACGGCACTTGCCAAGGTGTGTGCTGGTTTTTTCTTTTTGTGTCTACTTGGTGCTTCCTTCCTCCCTATCCCTCTCCTATGAATAGATCACAAGTGTTGTTTTGAAGTGCCTCAAAGCATGTCAAGAAGCTTTCGAGAGATCGTGACCACCTGCCTGGAGGGATGAGCACCGGACGAACATCGTCGCGGCTCGCCCGAACTGTGACGAACACACTCAGTGGGCGAACCGAACATGTTCGGTTCGCCTGAACACTTTTTACTGAAATCTTATGTTCGAGGTTCGCCCACTGTGGGCGAACCTATTAAAGGGGGCCGAACGTCAGAGATGTTCGGGCGAACACGAACATGTTCGGTTGGTTGGGATGTGGGTGTACACCCCAACCAACACAAAGTACAAACTGTCAGAACTTAGGCTGAGACTTGATACATTAGTAGTGAGCTCAACGCTCTTTAAGTGCATAGGAAATGAGCAAGGAGTGGATGGAGAGGGAATCAGGGGCTATCCTAGGGAATCAAGGGTAATCCCAAGGCAATCTCCAATTGGTGGCTTGGAGATTGCTTGGAGATTACATTTGGGTTTGGTTGGAATGTGGGTGTACACCCAACCAAACACAAAGTGCAAACTACACTAACCTAGAATATAAAAGTACAAGTACATGATGTGAGATTGAGGGCTAACATCAACACAAACTACACTAATGTATGATATAAAAAGTGCAAGTACGAAGGTTCAGATAAAGGGCTAACATCAACACCCCCTCATAAACGTCAATCTAAATCAAGGCAGAGAAGCTGGGGCACAGAGCCTCATGGCGTCAAAAAGACGATGGTGAGGAACCCGCCCAAGGGTCGTGAACAGATCAGCCAAGTTGCAGTAAGAAGCGATGTACTACACCATCAGCTGATCAAGCTGAGCTGAACAAGGTCACGAATGAAGAAGTGACGAAGCTCGCGCGATGTGCTTGGTGCGGGTGTAGAACTAACGATCCTGGGAGAGGTGGATGTACTCTGATTGTCACACCAGATGGTGGGTGTCAACTGAGGGTAGCCAAGCACCTGGAGAAGGAAACAGAGCCAACGAGCCTCCTGAGTTGCCATAGTGCCGGCATATAGTTCTGCCTCGCATGATGAGAGGGAGATTGCAGAGGACTTCGTGGAGAGCCAACTAACAACTCCACCACCAAGGGTGAAGTTGTAGCCCTGGGAGGAGCGTCGGTCGGTCCGGTCATCTGCCCAGGAGAGTCATTGTAGCCTTTCAGTCGGGGAGGAGTAAAACCACCAAGTGTGAGGACATGAGACTTGGTGTCTTGCAGATAATGCAAAACCCGCTTCACACTTGTCCAGCGGAGATCGGTAAAGTGTCCAGGAGCCACATACCGAAAGAGAAGACTGACAGGATATGCCAGGTCAGGGCGAGTACACAAAATGGCGTACATGAGGGACCCGACAAGCTCCGGGTATGGCTCGGAGCAGGCCTTGGGTATGGGTGTAGCTGGAGCTGTGAGCCAGTGGCTCATAGCTATGAGCTATGAGCCAGACCTTGAGAAGGCGCTGCAGCGGCAGTGGGGTGGCAATGGGCGTGCAGGAGCCCATCTGAAAGTGCTTGAGGACATTGTCGATGTAAAATTTTCCGAGAGAGCCTGGTGGTCCGAACCTAACGATCGCGTACAATCTCCATCCCCAGGTATTCCTTGAGGTCACCAAGGTCCTTCATCAAGATGGTCTTGCTCAAAGTCGTCTGAACCGAAGTCATCTCAGCGGAGTCCTTGGAGACGATGATGAAATCGTCAATTTAGACCGGCTCAAAGATGTAGAACGCCTCAAAGTGACGGCTCGGAGTGACGGAGTCCCTTCCATCTCCCCATCTCTCCCCTGTTGCTTTTTCTTCCAACCCCCCTCTCCCTCTACTTTCTCTCTGTTCAGTGTGTGGCACCGACAGTGACTGCCCAATGCACGCCTATTGCAGCGGCGGTGTGGAGTGCGTTTGCCAACCCGACTACCCATGGAACGGCACTCATTGCACTGGTATGTGGTGGCACCGTTTCTTTCACACCCCCTCACTTCATTCGTTCTTTGCATGCCAAGTCCGTTGCTCCTTTTATCTATGCCCCTCTGAATTAACACGCTCCTGCCCGTCTTGTTCAAACTGCCTCAATTCTCTTCAAACTTTCCAGACCCCTGCGACGGTGTGAAGTGCCGTCCCAATGCTTACTGCAACTACGGTCAATGCGATTGCAACCCCGACTACTACATGCTATCAAATGGCACTTGCACTGGTGCGTGTCAGGTTGTAGGGGTCATGTAAAACAAAAAAAAGGCATTGAGAGAGCGAGAGAAAGAGTGAGCCTTCAGACCTCTGCACTTGCCTTTGCCCTCAGCCCCTTGCCCCTCGGCATGGGTAAGGGCCCTGTGTTGTTAGGTACTTATTTTCCTTTAATTATGCTGAAGGTTAGTTCACTAGTTTGTTTTATGGTTTGTATGTATTTGCTTACATTATAATAGTGTAGACAATAGGGGTTGGGTTATATTAGTTATAGGGTGCCCCCCTGAGTGACTTTATCAAGTGCTAGGCACCCCAAATTCGGCTTTGGGGCACCCCAGCACGTTTCCCATCCTTGGGGACACGGCTCCAGCCTGGACCCACGAATTTCAACACTGGAAACGCGGCTCCAGCTTGGAATTCGCGTTTTCAATTCGTGGAATCGCGGTTTCACTAGAGGGGGCGCTTCCAGGCCCACTTTGAGGGTCCCTCACGTCCCCATCTTGACTGTGGGCGACTTGAGCACCCATTTGGCCACCCCAAGTCCCTTGGGTACCAAATTCCTCACCTGGACCAGCCCAAGTCGCCTCCAAGCTAGCTCTCTTCACTTTCTGCCTATTTTAGCTTTTGTTTTGCTTGTATTCATCACTTCAGTTAACTTTTGTTTGTAGACCCTTGTCAACATCTCAGAACTAGCTTCTCCTTGTGCACATTGTGCACATAGGTCTGATTTTCTACACCCTGTTTGCCTTCGGAGCTCAAAATTTCAAGGTCATTCCAAACCCTCACTCACTCTCGCACTCTCTCCCATGCTCTCCCCCACACTCTCACCGCCCCTGACCATGTACCAGAATCGTGCATAATCAGGAATTGTGGCTCTAGGGAAGAGTGTATGGATTATGGCGGCGAGAACGGCGAGTCAGTCTGCAGATGTTCATCTGGATACATTGGGGGGCCTGGATCGTGTGTTGGTACGTGGTGTGATTCTTTGTCTGCATATTGATGCTCCTCGCTCCCTCTCCCACACCCTACCTCACGTGGTCTTCACTGATAGCAACATGGAACGGCACCCGTTGCACTGGTATGTGATGGCACCGTTTCTTTCACTTCACACCCCCTCTCTTCATTCGTTCTTTGCATGCCAAGTCCTTTGCTCCTTTTATCTATGTCCGTCTGGATTAACACACTCCTGCCCGTCTTGGGGTCTCTTCCAACTTTCCAGACCCCTGCGATGGTGTGAAGTGCCGTCCCAATGCTTACTGCAGTGACGGTCAATGCTTTTGCAACAACTACTATACCCAGCTGTCAGATGGCACTTGCTCTGGTGCGTGTTCCCTCCCTCCCTCTCTCTCTCCCTCTCTCTCTCCCTCTCTCCCTCTATCCCCTCCCCCCTCCCTATCTCTCCTCTCCTCTCCTTCTCACCAGCTCTCCTCCCCCCTTCCTCCCTCCTTCTTCCCCCACCAACCCACATCCATTCCCGCGACCTGGCTAGGATCTCCCCCCCCTCTCCCCTCCACATCATCCCCCTCATCCTTCTTAGATTATCCTTCTTAAATCATCCTGCTCATCCTCCGTCCGCTGCTTGTCTGCAAAGGAGGGCGCACACTGGTCTTTGTGAGCCTGTGGGAAAGCCCTAAGAGTCAAGTCACCATGTTGCTGGCCTTGGTCAGCAACGCAGCAGCCTTGACGTTGCAGGGAGTTTTTGAGAAATTTCAAAAACTCTCTGCATGAGAATTCTAAAAAATTCCATGTTGCTGGCCTTGGTCAGCAACGCAGCGGCCTCAGCCAGTAAAGCCAGCAACCCTCACTCACTCTTGCACTCTCTTCTGCGCTCTGGCCCTCTCAAACTCTAAACGCACACTTCCATTTCTGCTGAAAGTCTCACTCTGTCTCTCTCCCCCCCTCTCCCCGCCCACACTCGCTCTTCCCCTGACCATGTACCAGAATCGTGCGTGCTTCTGAAGTGTGGCTCTAGGGAAATGTGTATGGAAAATGACGGCGTCAACGGCGAGTCAGTCTGCAGATGTGCTCCTGGATACATTGGGGAGCCTGGATCGTGTGTTGGTACGTGGTGTGCTTCTTTGAGTCCATACATGCCCCTCGCTCCTTCTCCCCACACTCTCTTTCACGCGCTCCTGCTCACTCATAGCAACATGCGCCCTGATAGCTCCTGCTCACTCATAGCAGTGTGGGAGGCTGGTGGGAGGCTGTCCCGGTTGCCAGACCCGTTCCCTCTGTCTGTACTCTCTCCCCCCTGCTTCCAGAAACATGCGATGTGCCGAACGTGTGTGGCGAAGGGGGGATATGCGCCCCTAATGAAGCCGGTGGTGTGACCTGTGAATGCATGGATGGGCGCGTCAGCGTTGGTGGTTCTTGTGTCGGTACGTTGTTCAATTCCTCTCTCTGCCCGTGTCTTGTACTCTCCTTCATGTGCGTTCTCTCCTGCCCTCCTCTGTCGGCAGTAGGGATGAACAAGGGGCGAACACGAACGTGTTCGCGTTCGCCCATGCACGAACACCCCTGTTCGGTGAACCGAACACTGTTCGCTTCGGCGAACACCTTAAGCAAAAACAGGTGTTCGCCGTTCGCCTATGAAGGCGTGTTCGGGCGAACCTTGAACACGTTCGTGTTCGTCTAGGGGCAAATTGAAGCAGCGGCCCGAACACGAACGTGTTCGGGGCGAACCTCGAACGTGTTTGGGTGAACCTCGAACACTGTTCGGCGACCACTTTATGCCAAAAAAAAAAACCTGTTCGGTTCGTCTCGAACACGTTCGAGGCGAACCGAACAGGTGTTCGTTTTTTTGCTCATCCCTAGTCGGCAGCGTCCCCTCCCCTCCGCACATGGCTGCTCAAGGTGCCTTCCTCCTTCTGCACATGGCTGCTCAAGGTGCCTTCATCCTTCCGCACATGGCTGCTCAAGGTGCTGCAATCTGTGCCTGCCAGTGTGGCTCCACGAATGTGCATGCAAGTGCACGTTTGTTCTCTCTGTGTGTGTCTCTCTCCCACCCTGCGTGCAGAATCATGTGATAACACGAGGTGTGGCGAATCGGAAGCATGTGTCCCGCGGGAAAGCGGTCCGACCTGTGAATGCATCAATGGCACCGTCAGGGTGGCTGGCTCTTGTGTCGGTACGTTGTGCTTGTTCTTGTGTCGGTACGTTGTGCTTGTTCTTGTGTCGGTAAGAAGGTGAAGGTGTGTGGCGAGGGGGAGCAATGTGTCCCTAATGAAGGCAGTATTACCTGTGAATGCATAGATGGAACCGTCAGGGTGGCTGGCTCTTGTGTCAGTACGTTGTGCTTGTTCGATCCCTTTCCTTTCCCCTCCCCCGTCCCCCGGCCCCTCACCCCTCATCTCTGTCTGCCTGCCCCTTTGACCATCCTTTCATGTGCTTTTGATTCCTGCTCTGTTGGTCCCCCCCTGCTTTTTGCAACCCTTACATGTCTCTATGCTCAACTCTTTTGTGATGTCTTCAATGAATCCCGCTTGGCCACGTTCTCTTTGCTTCCCTCCTGTGCAGCCGCGTGCGACATCACAAAGAACGATTGCCATGTGAATGCCACTTGCGCCAAGGTTTCTGGAAACGTGGGAGTGTGTAAATGCAATGCTGGTTTCCAGTCAGATGATGCCTCATGCCTTGGTAAGTGATGCTCTGCGATTGCTTTTGCTGCCGCCTCACTCACTTGGGGACATGCATTGGTGCATGCCATGCCATTGCCAACCACCCCATCGCTTCCCAACCACCCTATCACTTCCCAACCACAGTATCTCCTTGATCGCTCGATATTGCACGCCCCCCTTAAACTGTTCCTTCCGTCCCGTCATCCCATCTCCCATTGCCTCCTCTCTCTCCCTGCTCTTTCCCTACGTTCAGTGTGTGTCGACAACAGTGATTGCCCCGTGCATGCTTATTGTGAAGCTGGTGTGCAGTGTCTTTGTGAAGCTGGCTACCCATGGAACGGCACCCATTGCACTGGTATGTGATGGCGCCATTTCTTTCACACCCTCTCTCTTCGTACTTCAATTCCCAAGTCTGACTGACCTCATTTACCTTCTGCAAACTGCCTTTTCAAACCTCCTCCGATTCTCCTTGCAGATCTCTGCAATCACATCAACTGTGGCCCCAACTCTTTCTGCAAGGCGGCTATTTGCGGATGCAACGACAACTTTATCATGTCGCCAACTGGCACTTGCACTGGTGCGTGCCCGCTCGCTCTCTTGCTCTCTCGCGCTCTCGCTGTCGAGAACAAACAACCACTTATCGCCATGGGACTGCCCCCCCCGCCCCGTCACCTGCCGTACCTTCGAATGGAGGCCAACAGCTTGCTGCCCCTCTGGCGCATGCCACACCACCGACGGCTTGCTGCCTCTGATCAGTAGTACATGGGACGGAGGGAGAACAACCTTCGGCGCAAGCAACCATGTGTAGACAGAGATGTTTTGAGACGTCTCAATACATGGGACGGAGGGAGAGCAAACTTTGGTGCAACCACGCGCTGGGCTGGGCCATCCATCGTTGTTGGGAGCTTCTGACTGCTCTCCTGCTATGCCAAAGATAAAAGATATGTTTTGAGACGTCTCAAAACAAATCTTTTATCGTTGTTGGGAGCTTCTGACTGCTCTCCTGCTATGCCACAGCCAAGACGGTCTTCCCGTAGTACGATGCTGCCTGCCTGCCTACGCCCCGGCTGTACCTTACATTACAGGCCCACCGCGGCCTTCAGAGGTGGAGTGGGCGAGCTGCGGAGCCGCTGCTCAGGTACGCATTGAGAAGGCGCTTGGCTGCTTGCTTGGCAAGCTATCGAAGGAACTCGCCTATCGGAAGGAACTCGAGATACAGCTGGCTTCCTCGTCGTCTCCCTTCGTGCCTTGAGTGCGAGTCTCGCTTGCAAACCGGCAACGCTCAGTACCTCTCTCTCTCCCTTCCCTTCCCCCTTCCCCTCAGAGAAATGCACTGTGAACAACTGTGAAGCAAATGCCTTCTGTTTCAAGAATGCAACAGGGAGTGACATGTGTA